AATTGAGTCAAAAGTAGAAACATTTCTACCTGAAAATTTTAAAGCTAACATTCTAAGATAAAGATCAAAACAGAGAATAATGATCAAGTTCACTTCAAGAGTACCCAGTAACAATTTACCCATATCATGTCTACATTCATCAGAAGAAATGCAGCCCACTAAAGGATTCCCAGCCTACAATCACACCGCCAGAGAAGCTAGGAAACAAGGAGGACCCTAAGAGAGACATACATAGCCCCTCAGAGAAGGGGAAAGGGACAAGATCTCCTGAGCTAATTGGGAGCATTGGAGGAGGGGGAGAGGGAGCTAAAAGAAAGAGAGATGGATGATGGGGGAGGTCATTCTGTGTATATGTTTGTCTTATTGGTTGATAAATAAAGCACTGTTGGCCAATAGGGAAGCAAGTTAAGCAGGACTAGGAGAGAAGAAGGATTCTGGGAAATGTAGTAAAGAGCAGGGTCACCATGTGATTGCCAGAAGAGAGGACACTTAAGGCCAGCGTCCTCAGTAAGATAAGTCCTTATAAAATATATAGATTAATAGTTATGGTTGATACTTAAAACAGAGCTAGCAAATAAGAAATCTTAGTCTTTGGCCAGCAACATTGTAACTAATATAAGACTCTGTGTGTTATTTGGGGGCCCTGAAGAGGGTGGCTGGCAGAAAGAGTTATCATTACAGGGGAAGAACAGGAGGGGAGAGGAGGACATGAGACAGCAGGAAGATTTAGTCAAGGTCAGAATTGAGGAGAGCAAGAAAAGATATACCCAGCTGGAGAGATGGCTCAGTGGTTAAAAGCACTGCTTACTCTTCCAGAGGTCCTAAGTTCAATTCCCAGAAACCATATGGTGGCTCACAACCATCTGCAATGAGATCTGGTGCCCTCTATTGGCCAGCAGGCATTCATGAAAGCAGAACACTATATACCTAATAAATAAATAAATAAATAAATAAATAAATAAATCTTCAAAAAAGAAAAAGAAAAGAGATACCACAATACAGGGAACCATTACAGGTTTAAAGAGAATTCTGGCACTAGGGAAATGTCCAGAGATCTACGAGTTTGACCCCAACTAACAATCTAAGCAGTTGTTGAAAGTCTGCCTTAAATGCCCTCTGATAATGAGATTGATGACTCTCTTAGATGCCATCCTAGAGCCTTCATCCAGTAGATGATGGAAGCAGAGGCAGACATCCACAGCTAAACACTGAGCTAAACTCTGGAATCCAGTGGCAGAGAGGGAGGAGAGATGAGCAAAGGGGTCAGAACCAGACTGGAGAAGCCCACAGGAACAGCTGACCTGAACAAGGTGTTGTTCATGGACCCCAGACTGATAGCTGGGAAACCAGCATAGGACTGTTCCTGACTCCCTGAGTGCAGATGTCAGTTTATAGGTCTGGGCAAGCTATGGGACCTCTGGTAGTGGATCGGGATTTATCCCTAGTATACAAATGGACTTTGGGAGCCCTCTCCACATGGAGGGATAGTCTCTCAGCCTAGACCCACAGGGAAGGGTCTCGGCCCTGCTCCAAATGATATGACAGACTTTGAAGATCCCCTATGGAAGGCCTTGCCCTTCCTGGGGAGCAGAAAGGTATTGGGATGGGGATGGGGGGCAGGGGAGGAGGGGAGGGAGAGGGAACTGGGATTGACATGTAAAAGAAGCTTGTTTCTAATAAAAAAAGAAAGAAAGAAATGCAGCTCACTGCAATGGTCAGCTACCCTTCACCAAACATTGGTTCCAGAACCAGAGATCTCTCAGTGTTCTCCATTTGTGTCATGGTTAACATTGTCATCTTGACCTAAGCTGCAATCATCTGGAAAGAGATTCTCGGTGAGAAGCTGTCTATGTTGAGTTTGCCTGGGGAAGATTTGTGGGAGACTATCTTAATTAATTGATGTGCAAAACCCAGCCAATGGTGGGTGGCTCCATTCCCTAACCAGGGGGTGCTGAACTTTATAAGAGTGAAGAAATCTAGCTTAGTACGAGCAAACAAGCAAGCATGTGTGCAGTCACTTCTCTCTTGACTGTGGCTGAGATAGGACTGCTTCAAGTTCTTGCCTTGATATCCCAACCATGATGGACTGTAACCGGGAACTATAAATTTAAATAAACTCTGTTTTCCCCTAAGCCGCTTTCTATCATGTTATTTTATCACAGCAAATGAAACTAGCACAATCCCTTCCCTGTTGTCTGCACACGCCCTCAGTGGCCTCAAATCTCACACTTGATCACCATATCCACGTGGCTGGGTATGCAGCATCACGACTGCAAACCGGGCCACTCAAGGCCAGGAAACTTGAGTGTGCATGCATCCCACAGCCAACACTTTATCTTCTCTTTGCCATCTGCCAGACATTGCCAGTGTCACCTGTCCCCAGAGAAGCCGTTGCTATTCATCTCCTTCCACCTGCTCCCTGACTTCCTCACTCCGTTGATGGTGACTTCAATCTTTTGACTTCCCATGGAACCCTTCCATGACATCTCTCTCTCTCTCTCTCTCTCTCTCTCTCTCTCTCTCTCTCTCTCTGTCTCTCATATCAGATTTGTTAGTACATGTTAGAGGTTCTTTCTTAAAATCCATCTGTCACTGTCGGTTCTCATCATCTCTGCTGATGTCATTTTGTGTCTCTGCCTCTGCTCCTTTGTCATCTCAACCCGACAGTCAGAGGGATCCAGTTAGACAGTCCTTCTGCCCACAGGCCTCCAAGGGCTCTCATCTCACTCACAGGAAAAGCCAAGATTCCTTCCATGCCCTATTCCTTCCCCACCCCTGCCCCTGTCACCTCCTGTCACTCTACCTCCACCCTGCTTCACCTCCATAGTCTTCAGCTCCCACTGTGCTCTACCTACCTACCTACCGTCATGTTCCGCTTCTTGTGACTTGAAACAGTCCCCAGGGGAGGGGAGAAAGTTCAGAAAGGAAACAAAAGGTCACATGTCTGGGAAAGAAGAAGCTTGGAAGATTCTCTGAGCCCCCCTCCTGCTTTCTAGAGGGCTCCCCTGGGGAGCAGCAAACCTGCAGAACTGCAGATTTGCTGGACCCAAGGAGCTGCCTGCACATTGTGCACAGAGCTCGGGGTCGCAGCTTTCATGAGCCATGGCCCATGTTGGAGTGTGCTTTAAGTGGTGCAGCTGCTTTTCTGCGCCGTCTCCCTCCTGTAGCCCCTGGCCCGTACATCTGCTGGCAACCCCAATAAACACTCAGTGATCCACCAAATTGAACCTTGGCACAATCATTACTTTGGTCAGTTGTGGGTACCTTTTCTAGGGTGAGTAGACCTGTCTGTCACGTCACGCAACCATGTTCAGCTCCCATTTTGCTCCACACTCCCTCTCATTGCCCCACCTCTGACTGCACTCCACCTCCCATCATGCTCCACCTCTGACTGCACTCCACCTCCCATCATGCTCCACCTCCCATCATGCTCCACTTCCCATCGTGCTCCACCTCCCATCGTGCTCCACCTCCCATCGTGCTCCACCTCCCATCATGCTCCACCTCCTATTGTGGGCCATCTCCCATTGTTCCACCTCCAGTTAAGCTCCATTTCCCACTGAACCCCGCTTCCTCCCAGCATGCCCCATCTCCTAGCATGCCTCGCTTCTCACGCCCTGCCTCCTGTCTCACATAGCTTCAGCTTATCGCATTGTGCTCCCTCTCCCATCATGCTCCGTCTATCACACTGTGTTTGCCATGCTCTATTCTGGCCACACTGGCTCTTTGCTGTTCCACACACCAGGCCTACTCCTTGCAGAACCTCACCTCTGTTGTTTCTTCTGCCAAGCTCTCCTCCCTACACACCTGCTGGTTCTTCTAGGAAAACTGCAGGGCCACTTAAGATTGACTTTCAACCCGCGGCCCATATGCCCCAGCTCCCATCTCTATGTCACTTTTTCCTCCTGTGTCAAGCATAGTCGGACCCACGGCATCCTCTAATGAATCATCTCTTCACCCCCGCTGCCCCCATTGTCTTAAGCACCACGAGATTCCAGCTTGGCATTCTTCATGCTGTACTCCTGGTCCAGGGAACAGTTTGGGGGCATACAGTAGCCGCTCATGACATGTGCATGAGCTGAATGGAGTTTGAAGACTGAAAAAGCTTGAAGCACGCCTCTCCATCAGCCTCCAAGTGCTGTGTGGGACCCAGGTGGCCAGACTTACAGGGGCTCCTTCAGCCCCTCCCTTTAAGAAAAGAAAGACTAGTGGGTCCCAGGAAGGAGCACAACATAGCCGGGACTGTTGTGGAAAGTTGAAGGTGCTGACAGACAGCTGGCTCATGGCATCTGCGTCACCTTGGCAGCCTGTTGAGCCAGGAGGGAATTCTCCTTCCTGCTCCTCTGGGTGGGGAGAGGATGCCTCCCTATGAATGAGACTCACGTCTGAACTCCTGGGAGGATGCTGTTTTGAACTGGCTCTTGGGGGTGATGCTGTGTGGTTGTACAAAGCCTGGAACAGTGAGGGCATTAGGACCAGGAGTGAGACGCATGCTTGGTTCCCGTGGTGTCTGGCAGAGGGTTTGTGCAGAGCTAGAGCTATGTGTGAAAGGAAATCGGGCAGTGTCTGCCGGCTTTACATCTGTTGTTCTGACATGACTCAAGGCGTCCAAAGGAGGATGTCTGCCATCCTGGCTTGACTGAATCCCCAGCAACTTGCCCCCGACATCCCATAGAACCTGACCATTCATGCAGAGGTGGGAAGAAACATGGGACTAACCACCAGAGCAGAATGGACAAGAGCAGGGTGAGAGGGAAGCAAACAACACAACCGGAGACCCTTTTCAGAAGACAAATAACACAATCCAGAGAGGACCTGGGTGGCCCCAGACTCCTGGGGCTTTCTGGTTCCAAGAGAAGTGGGTCTTACAAATGCTCTTGGCAAATGTCAGATGGGATAAAAGGAGCAGGTGACTGGCAAGAAGCCTTTCAGTGAAGGTCCCTGGAGCACGAGGAAGAAAACCTCCTCAGGACCTGTTGCTGTGGGCAAGTGGCTGCGACATGCTTCTGAGGAAGCGACCCAGGAATGGACGTTGCAGGCTTCAGTTCCTCCTGCTCTTCCTGACACTGGGATGTGTCCTGATGATGGTGACCATGCTGCAACCTCCCCCGCCCACCTTGCACCAGGCAGTCACAGCCCAGGCCAGCAAACACAGCTCTCACACTGGGTATCGGCTGGACTTTGGGGACTCCCAGGAATGGGTTCTGGAGGCTGAGGATGAGAGTGAGGAGTACACCTTCTTGGATGGCCTGCCACCCTTCATCTCCCTGCAGGAGGATCAACTGCTGGTGGCTGTGGCTTCACCCAGGGCTAGGAGGAATCAGAGCCAGGGCAGGAGAAACCAAGGCAGCTACCATTTCATCAAACACCCCGGCTGGAGGCGGGATGAGGAAGCCCATGAGAGGGATTGGAGGACAGAGGACGATGGGAAGGAATCAGAGGAGGAGGCACCGACCCCACTCAGCCTGGACTCAGATGGCCTCAACAAGGTACTCAGTGCCGGCTGGCCCCTGAGGAGAGTCCTGCCTGAGGTCCGGCACCCGATGTAAGTAAGACCCTGCATTCCCTTCTCTGGTCTAAGTGTGTGGTTCAGTGGTAGCAAGTCAGGAGTGCTGACTATCTGTAGTCTGCCTCTCCCATCCTTAGGATAGTACTCCCTGAGATGTGGTCCCTGAGGCCCTATCAGCCTTGCTGATGAAGTGCTAGAATTGAAGATTCCCAAGTCCCATCTCAGACCTGCTCAGTCAGAAGCCCCAGATCCGTGGATCTGCCACTAACAAGTCCCAAAGGATAGAAGATCTCACTCCTTCACTCTCTTCCAAGTCCTGGGTTCAAGTCCCACTGCTAATCCCCTGGGTTACAGTTTTAATAGGGAGATGGAAACAGAAGTTCTTCAAGGCACCTTGCAGTTCTCATGCTGGGAGTTCAGTTTTTCATACTGGTTTATTATTAGTGTTTCCTTGATCTAGGATCAAAAAAGCAACTGCAAAAACTTCAAGAAATGCTTCTGTACTTCTTGCCATGTGACTGGTTTAAATCTAAGCTTTCCATGTGCAACCCAGAAAGTCCTAGACAGTCCTCTGCATTGTGCTAGTTGAGTTTCATTTTTTTTATTTTTGGTTTTTCGAGACAGGGTTTCTCTGTGTAGCTTTGGAGCCTATCCTGGCACTCGCTCTGGAGACCAGGCTGGCCTCCAACTCACAGATATCCACCTGCCTCTGCCTCCCGAGTACTGGGATTAAAGGCATGCGCCACCAACGTCCGCCTGCTAGCTGAGTTTCATGCCTGGTTGTACAGTGAAAGTAAGGAACAGAGAGGCCCTGTGGCTTGCCTACTGTCACACAGCTGTATAAAAATCAAAGCTGGAATTTGGATCCAGGGATTTAAGTGCCAGTCGGGTCCGAAGCACCATCCTCTACCACCCTCCTTAGTCCCAACAAGAAAAGAACAGTTCCCAATGCCCAAGAGCTCATGTGCTGCTTACAGCTCAGCCTGCTGGGTGCCTCACCCCAGTAGTGGGAAGTGTTTGTGACATGCAGAGATGGTGGCTCATTCTCCAGCCCCTGGACCCCTCCCACCATGAATAGCCACAGAGACAGATAAGAGATTGCTTGCCCAAATCCAGAAGCAATGTGGCTGGATAGGTAGAGTGGCCGAGGGCCCTGCCCGAGAAGCCATGGCTCTTTCACAGCCCATTGGGATTTCTGGAAAGCAAGCATATCTTGCTTTGGAAGCACAAGGACGCATGTGCAGTGGCAGCTGGGAGCAGGGCCATGACTCTTTGGACCCCTGATCCTCTCTGCCTGGCTGCCCAGCCACTGATCACCTGTGAGCACAGATGTCCTTAGGCTCTGTGTCCTGGAGCACTCACCTACCCATAGTCCCAGGTCTGCTCTGCTGACTTCACACATCGGCTTTAAAAGGTTCTGCCCAGGGACCTACCCCACTCCGGTTTCAGGCTCTCTCTGAACTCACAGCACCTCATACAACAGACACTAAAGAGCCATCAGTGTGTTCATTTGTGCGCTGCCTGCTTCCCCCGCTGTGCCAAGAGTTTAGAAGGTCAGCACCAATCGTGTACTGCATGTCTCAGCGTCCAGCACACCCAACCCTGCACAGAAACGACTGCTGGATGAAGGGACAGCTTTCCAGTTCTTTCCATGCACATTACCATTGGTTGAAAGCAAGAGTGAACATCTTTATTCTGTTAACAAGAAACATTGGCTCTGGGGAGGTGTGTGTAAGACTGTCTCCAGAGCACTCTGCATATGCACACTTGCAGGTGACCTGCATGTGTGCTTGTGCACATATGCACTGTGTGTTGAGTGTGCACTACGCTGCACACATCCAATAGATGTGTGTTGGGTGTAGTCCATGTGCATAGTAGTTTGGGGTTTGGTATATGCAGTGTGTGTGTGTGTGTGTGTGTGTGTGTGTGTGTGTGTGTGTGTGTGTGTATGTGTGTATCATACCATCCATCATAGGACGCAGGGGTGATCTGTACTGGTATGGTGTCATGTGTGTAGGCATGTTGTCGATGTGTGCAGTGCATACATATATGTAGTGTATCTCTTGTGCATTGGGGCATGTATTATTTTTGATGTGTATTTGTCTTGTATGTGTTTATGTAATGTGCATGTGTACTGTGCTATGACTGTTTCTTATGTATTATGCGCCTTTGTGTGTATAGTGCCAGTGTATATATTGTATGCGTTGCAAGTATTGCGTGTATTGCATATGCACTGTAAGTGCACTGTATGTAAGACACATGTGTGTGTGTTGTGCATTTGTTATGTAGCATATGGATATGTTGTGTGTGCAGTACAAAGTGGGTGCATTTTGTGGCACAGTTGCCATGCACAGGTGTGAGTTTACTGTGTGTGTGTGTGTGTGTGTATGTGTATATATATATATATATATATATATATATATATATATATATGGTATATATCATGTGTGTGATATAAACAAGTTTGATGTACTGTGTCTATATGCACATGTATACATTATGAGACTTTATTTTTCATGCATATGGGGCATGTGTGTGTTATATGTTGCAAGTGTGTAACATGTTGTAAATGTTTCTTGTGATGGTCATGGGCTTGTGTTCAAGTGTGTTGCTTGTGTTAGGCTTGTGATGTGGTGTGTGAATGGAGTATTGGTGGTTCAAGCAGATACAAATAAACCGGGTGTGTTTGATGTAAACAAGCTTGTACATTTGAGTATATGTTGGGCAGACAGCTTTGCTGTCTATTTCTTCCCTTCATGGTAATCAGTGCATTTCGGTTTTCTGGGGTTTGCCTCCTTTCAACACTGAAAGACTCTGGCAGTCAAGAAATCTCTCCACCTCAAGGGAAACATACAGTTGAGTTGGGCTCTCCGCTTCAGGGTTCTCACAGTTACCAGCTCTATGTAGTGGTGGACAGCGCCATCTGCTGGTCAACTCAGTGAGTGCAGGCTGTGCAGCCAGAGCTTGCATCTGTAAAGACTCCAGGGCCCAGCCTTCCCAGCCTTCCAGAAGGCTCTGGGATACCCCAGAGTCTCTGCAAAGCCAGGCACAACCACTATCCTCTATCCAAGGTGACAGTGCCTTCTTCCCTTCCACCTTCCACTGGTGGAAAGACAAGAAATGCCACATATAAAGCAACTGTCTGCTGTGTGGGGACCTGCGCTTTCCTATGAGGGGTGGGAGACCTCTGCCTCTAATGTCCTCTGTCCCACACTCCTCCAGTCTCCAAACTTCCCGCAAGCTCCTCGACTCTTAACCCAGATATGTTCTTCTATCCTTCACCCAGATACCACACTACTCTGGCTTTTGTCCATCCCCTTGCTAGGTTCCAGATCTCCTCTAGGATCATGGCTAGAGGTCAGTTTGCATAGGGGGCATTACCAATAATGCAAGACTGAAATAGTAAAATATTAGAGTGAGAGGATCCAAAAGACAGGCTCTGGGGCCATGCATGACGGTGCATGCCTGCGCCTCCTGCATTTGGTGAAAGGAGGCTGAGGCAGGAGCATTGTAAGTTTGAGGATAGCCTGAACTATACAGTGAGTCTCTTTTTATACTTTTATTTACTGTGGGGCATGGGGGGTGTATCAAAACACACATGTGGAAGGCATTAGACAATGAAAAGTCGGTTATCTCTTTCCACCACGTAGATCATGGGGATCAAACTCGGGTCCTGATCAAACTTGGGTCCTCAGGCTTAGGCAAGGCTAGCCCTTACCTGTTAGGCCATCTCATCCCACCCCCACTCCCATGCAGGTTTATGAGGTCTTAAGCACATATTTAGAGCCAGATGTTCCTCTGCCAGTCACTACCCTTCCATCCTCGCTGGAAGCTTCTGCCCTGGTGAGGAAGGGACCAGGCAGAAGGACACTCAGGAGCACTGGGCAGAGGGTCTGTGTCCCTCAGACAGGGCCAGTGCCACACTGGTGGCTCTGACTTCCCTCTGAAGAAGGTCCCAGAAAGACCTTTCATTTTAGGAGAGTCCTTTTGTGAAATTCAACTGCCCTGCTGCTCTGCGCACTAAGAGCTGATCCGTTCCCTCCACGGTGGACTCCATGACAGTGAATCAGGCAGCTAGTGAAGCCGCTACTCTCCCGCAGGGCTGAGGGGCTCACATAGCCCCTGGGGTGTAGGCAACACAGTGGTCAGAGTATCCAGCCAGGAATGGCTGAAGCAGAAATCACCCAGGAATTCTAAAGGTAGAGTGCTTTGGGTTCCATGTATCACTGACAGGGCCTAGTGGAGCCTGGCCCCCTTCCTGAGCTTCAGGTCCCTCACCTGAGATGGTGACATTGTCATTCATTCCTATTGTATAGTTGAGGATTATCATCTCCGTGAATGGGACCAGCTCCCCTCAGGTACAAAGAAGTTACTGGGTTCAGCAGAGTGGAGCTCTTGTGATCCAAAGGTAGAGAGTTAGAAGGTGATGTTGTAGTGTGTGATGGGATCTCTGTGTGGCTACTTGAAAAAAATCCCAGGAGAGCCATTGAATTGGAAGGACAAACTGGTTGTAGTGGCCCAGCCAGGACTGAGGTGTGTGTGGGAGGGGAGGGGGCTGGCCTCTCTGCTGCATCTCCTCCCTTGGAGGCTCCCTAACACTCTTCCCCTACAGGTGTCTGCAGCAGCACCCTGCAAGCGGCCTGCCTACAGCCAGTGTCATCCTCTGCTTCCATGACGAGGCCTGGCCCATGCTCTTGAGAACCGTGCATAGCATCCTGAACACCGCACCCAGGGCCTTGCTGCAGGAAATCATCCTTGTAGATGACCTCAGCCAGCAAGGTAACTGAAGTTGGCTCCTGGATCACTGGTAGGGCTGGCCTTGGGCCAGAATGTTGAGGGAAGGATAGAGGGCGGGGCAGTTCCATATAAGGTAAGGTTCCCCCATGCAGAGCTTCGGGCAAAGAGGGAATATATACTCCAGTGTGAGTAATTTATTACTGAAGGGCCCCAGAGGAGATCCAGTGGGTAACAAGGGAGGGGACAAAAAAGGAATAATCAAACTAGGAAGAGTCCTGGGGCAGGAACTCCCAGGAGAGGGTAAATCCAGAGGCCCCTGGGGAGGGCCACTCTAGTCTGAACCATAGGGGTTCTCCTCCTCAGGCCCCACTCCCAATCCTATTATCCTCTCCACAAGATGTACCATCTAAAGAAGGTGGTCTTGACATGGGTGCTCACTGCCTCCTGGGTGCTGGGCAAATCCGGTCCAGATGGGAAACTGAGGACTAAAGATGAGAAGTTAGCAGAGTTGAGTCATGAGTGGTGCAGAGTTGGGCCCAGAGCCCAGATTATAGGGTGTGCTTGGATGCTGTAACTGGCAGGAAGCTCAGGACAAGAAACAGCATAAAAAAGAAGGCAGTGACAGAGTAGCCACTGCCTGACCTCCAAGTGAGTGGGTCTCAGACTTCTATTTCCTGAGCTCCAAAGACAGACTTGTTAAAATGTGGCTCTGTGGTGGAAGTGGGAGCCTGTAACCCCAGCTACTGAGGAAGCCTAGCCAGGGACTCACAAGTCTAAGAAAGCCAGCTTGTACTACAGATGGAGTTTAAGGCCAGCTTGGGCAATTTAATGAGAACTTGTATAAGAAGTTTTAAAAAATATGAGCCAGCTCTTACCTTTAATCCTAGTACTATGGAGGCAGAGGCAATCAGATCTCTGAGAGTTCAAGGACAGTCTGGGCTACACATTGAGACCCTGTCTCAAACGAACATGCCAAACCAGATGGGCAAAAGCCCACAAAGCCTCAATACTCCACAAAAAAACTATAGGTAACAGGAAGGCTGGGAGCAGAAGAGGTGTTCCTCTGAGGGCAAGAGTTCATAAACTGTTTATTCAATGCTAAACGGCCAGCCCTGAGACATACATACAAATAACATGGTATAGACTCAGCAGGTTGTATTTAGAAATGTATATGTGCGTACAGATACGTATAAGTATGCAATAGCAATCAGTGGGAAAAGAGGCCCTAAACTTGAAGGAGGGTGGGAAGGGATATACGGAAGGGTCTAGGGAGAGAAAGGGAAGGGAGAAATGTTGTAATTAAATTATAGGCTCACAAAGTAAACAAACAAACAAACAAACAAAGGTTTGTGTGATAGTTATTCAGTAGCAGAGCACTCGCCTATCCTGTGTGAAGCCCTGGGTTCCACCCCAGTACTGTCACTGGATCACCCCAGAGTCTTTAGGTCTTGGTTGTGCCCAGGTGAAGCTGGCCAGGTGAAGTGATATCATCATCTGATGGCCTACGTTTGCATAACTACTGATCTGGCCTTTTCTTGGGGGTCAAAATCCTCCACTCTTGCTCAACTCAATGTCATTTAGCCACCCCATTGAGTTAAAGGGGAAGTAGAGGCACTGGGCAGAGAGCTGAGCTCTGCTGAGGTCTCCACAGCCTGTCTACAACAAAGAAGGATGGGCTGGAGGGGTGCAGCCTCTGTTGGGGCTTTTTGAGAATCTCCCATCTTGAATTTGCCAGCCTGGCCATTGCAGAGGATCAGAGCAGCTGGAGGCACTGGGATTGTGTGGGATTAGCAAGGCACATTTGGCCAGCATTCGTTGAGGTTGATGGGCAGGCAGTGGGCTAGGCTGGTTGGTAAAAGAGCCTGCAGTCCCTTGGGGTCCCAGCTGGGGCAGAGTCATCCAGAGAATAGGCCTATTGTCCCTTTCGGTCAGCTGATGAGCTGCTTTGGGTTCTGCCATGAATTCATGGCCTGACTTCCCTCAGTGATGTAGTGTGACCCAAGAGTTGTAAGAAGAAATAAATCTTTTTCTCCTCAAGTTGCTATTGGTCGTTACATTTTATCACAACAATAGAAACCTAACTAAGACAGGCTTTCTCCCAAGTCCTCAGCTGCAGCCCTTCCCACCTGAGGGCATCTGATTCTTGGCTAGCAGCTTAACCACAGCTTTTGCATCCTTCCAAAAGCCCACAGCTAGAAGTACCCCTGGTTTCTCATCTCCCTCTTCACAGACTCACCCTGACACCAGGATGAAACCAGAGACAACACCCCATGGGCTACCAGCTACAGTTCCATGACTCTGTTCTTATATTTTTGGTTGTGAGCCTAGCCTTTAACGGCTGAGCTCTCCCTCCAGCCCCATGACTCTGTTCTTAACCCCCTTGTCCACTGTCTTTGGTCAGGTTTTCTAGATGAGAGCCGAAGCCGGGATGTAAGAGCAGGTGGTTTTCTTGAGGGGTGCACTCTCATTTGCAAGGTCTCTCCTCTTCTGGTTTTCTACTCCATTCCTCCTCCTGGTGGTCAATAGAGAGAACTGAGTCATAGAAAACCTTAGAAATGACCATCCTTTAGTAACATATTGGAGGCTCAGAATCTGGTTCCCACTGGGGTCTCTAAATGAGTCACCACTGAAATGCTCATCACAATCCTGTTCCATGTGGCATCTGTGACCCCCATTGACAGGACCCTGTCAATTCCAGAACAACTGAAGTCTGCTCTCAGTGACTACGTGGCCAGGCTGGAGGCTGTCAAGCTGCTCAGGAGCAACAAGAGGCTTGGCACCATCAGGGCCCGGATGCTGGGGGCTACCAGAGCCACAGGGGATGTCCTGGTCTTCATGGATGCCCACTGTGAGTGCCACCCTGGATGGCTGGAGCCCCTCCTCAGCAGAATAGCTGATGACAGGTAACTTATTCCACCCAGGGTCTGCAAAACAAACAGTAAGTCAGGGAGAGATATCCTGGGCACAGTCACTCTGGGGACAGAGCATCCACCCATCATTTGAGAAGCGGCTTGGTCTCCACTGGTTGCTGTCGATTCCTTGGGGTTTCTGGATGCTTGGGCTGTGTAAGAAGTGTGGGGGAGTTCCTGTTGGAAGGGAGGATAGAGAGCAGCTTCTGTACCGTCCAAATACAGCCAGTCTTGCTAAGCTGACAGGAAGGGCAGCAGCCTCCATTCTTGTCATTACCCCCAACTTTGACACAGTTTCCATTGTAACACACTGTGGGGGAACAAGTTTCTAAAGTAGCCTAGACTTCAGGTCATCCAAGCCCAGGCAGTATGCACAGTGCTCCTAATTTTCTAACGAAACCAAGCCTGGGAAACGTGGAACTGAGAGGGCCTTTCCATAGCCCATAAGTTAGCATGCTATCGAGCTGTCTTTCCCACTCCCTCTTTCTCATCTCCCCTGCTTCCTAAGCCTGACCTAACCATCATGCCCCTCAAAATGAATATCCTATTCAGAAAACCTAACCCTGGTAACTAGCTCACCTAGGAGTGTGGGGAAGGGCTCAACCATTCACCACCCCTGCCACTCAAGCATGCCTGAGACACAGTAGGACCTCCTGGCCCCCACCCTGGTGGGGCTATCAGAACCAGACCTCATGGTTCCTATTCTTACACTCTGTGGTTGTGTCATGAAGGTGAGGGTGATCGCACAGAAAAAAAGAAATTCTGAACCAAGACAGATCCATTAGCCCAATTCCATGATGGACACCTCTGACTGCTCTTGGCCTATGTCCCAATAGGTAAAGGAATTGTGTGTTGTGTTTACTACCAGACTGAGGACAAGGAAAGTTCACCAAGCCTACAAGGAGGCCATCTTTGATTCTGTTTCATGTGCTAGCTCTCTCCAAATCCTGGAGCCCTTGTGGATCACAAGTTTTCTGGACCATTTCCTGTGTGTAATCCCACCCTGGTGTAACAGATGGGTGACTCAAGGGCACCTTAGAAATCACCTTGCCCTGCCTCGTGATTTCATGTTGAAAACTCCACTTGTAGACATTTGGGAACTAAGTAATGTTACTGTCTCATGTCCCACTTTTAAGTGACTCTCCTCTCTGCCCCGTGGAGTGTCTCAGGCAGGTTTTCCTGCTTCTGTTTCTTGAGGAAACTGAGGCTCAGAGCGCTGAAAATGAATGCAGAGTGTGACGGACAGGTGTCTGTTTGGGCTGTCCAGTGCCCAGTGTGATCTCTTCTTAAGGACCACTGCTGGGTGGTGGTGGCACATGCCTTTAATCCCAGCACTCAAAAGACAGAGGCATTTGGTTCTCTGTGAGTTCAAGACCAGCCTGGTCTACAAGAGCTAGTTCCAGGACAGCCTCCAAAGCCACAGAGAAACCCTGTCTTGAGAAACCAAAACCAAAAACAAAAACAAAAACAAAAACAAAAAAACAACCAAACAAACAAAAAAACAAAGAACCACTGAAGTGGTTCACAGAGAAATGGCCTGTCTTGTCTTTCCCTAGTGCTGGGACATGTTAAACACGATGTCATCGTTCATGTCAGCTCCTCATATGAGTGCCACCCCAGAGCTCCATAGTCCTCACTATGAGGGATGCAGAAGAGCCTTAGCAGTTCTCAGATGTTAAACACGTGACATCCTCAGGAGCCTCCCTTCCTCTCTGGTTTTAAGTATTTGATGTGGCCTTCTCTTCACATGTGCTCTGGGATTCCACCATCTTTTATCCTCTCACGGCCTCTTCATGGCTTCTGGCCCACTCGCTTTCCTCTGGCCCACCTGGTCCAGCTCATTGAGAACTGGAAAGAAAGCTATATCTGCAATATGAGTGATCCTATCTGGACTCTCCACAGTGGCACTTTGAACAATGGGCAAGTCTAGTCTCCTAGTCTGTGCAGCTTCCTCAGGGGCTCGGCCCACCAGCTCTTCTGATGCTTGAAACCTGCTCACAGCACAGCACACCACAGCATAGCACACCACACCACACCAGAGCACACCACACCACAGCACACAAAGTTCACACTACACCACAGCACCCACACCACACCACACCACACCACACACCTTAGTGAAAGCAAAGCTGTTCTGGCCTAAGTGCCAGAGCTATAGCTACTCTTTGAGAGAGAAGGGGTGGGGGGCTGCTGCCTCTCAAACCTGTGTCAGGAGACATTCTGTCATCAGATGAGGACCCAGTGTCTCCAAAGGAGGAAAAATCTCTAGGAGCTTTTATTACACAGGCGCAGAGGGAGTATAGAGGGGAGAGTGTGGCCGCCAGGCAGCTGCTCTGCAGAACCATAGTTTCATCCACACCCTGGTCAAAGAACCTCGAGTCCATTGTCAGCCCTGGTCACCTGACAGGGAGCTTGCCCTGCCCCTAGCCATGTGGCAACTTTGAATTGTTGATTTTCACCATCCTTTACTCTCCTCAAACATTTGTTATAGCATACTGATTATGTTGTAATAAGACAGTTTTCTTTCTCATTGTTACTTATTTTGTATGCATGCATGTATGTATGTATGTATGTATGTATGTATGTATGTATGTATGTGCAACACAAGTGTGGTGTGACCACAAAGACCAGAGGAGGATATCAGATCCTCTGGACTTGAAATGAAGGCCCTTGTGAGCTCCTGACATGGGTGTTGGGAACTGAAACTGGATCCCCTGAAAGAGTCACAGTTGCTCTTACTAGCCAAGGCATCTCTCCAGGCCTGGAAAAAAATGCTCCAGTGTCTTCTTTTATTTAAGGAAATTGTAAAAGTAAATGTGCATTTTATAATACGTATAGTATTTGAGATGTTCTCCGGGGCTTACTGGTGCACAAACCCTACAACTTTACAAAGCAATCCTACACAAAAAGCAACTGGTTTGGAGCAGTCTTGGGATGCTGACTGATGGCAACTTCCTTATAAAGTAGCAATGTCTGCCATATCCACCTGCTGCCTGCTTTGTGCTGTTTGCCAGCTCTAATGTCTAACCAAGCAAGGCAGACAATCACACCTCTTAAGGAGGTTTCTAAAAGAAAAGGGAATCTCTAGGAAGAACTAAATGATTGCGCCATCCCAGGCTGTTTTCCACGACTGCCTGCCCTGGTTCCTGTCAGAGGCACATAGATACCTGTGGGTATAGCACAGTACCACACAGAAGAAATACAACATGGGCCACATGTTTAATTAAAACAGTCATGTCATAAAGTAAAAACAGCTGAAATTAATTTTAATGATGTAAGCCCAGTATATTCAAAATATAATATCAGTGTGTAATCAATATAAAAATTATTGAAAGTTTTCACATCCTTTTTTATATTAATTCTTCTAAATTGGGATTATTACCTGGGACAAAGCACAGACTCAAGGCCAACAGGTGTGACTTTGACCACACATTACATAGATCTTGTTTCTTTTCTGTGTCGCGTCCTGTCCCCCCTCTCCCCGCCCAGGAAGTTGTCTGCATCATTTCATGACCTTCTGTTCTTTCCAGGAGCCGAGTGGTGTCTCCAGTCATAGATGTGATTGACTGGAAGACACTTCAGTACTCTGCATCCAAGGAGCTGCAGCGAGGGGTGCTGGACTGGAAGTTGGATTTCCGATGGGAGCCCCTGGGGGAGCAGGATCAGAAGGCCCTCCCATCCCCCATCAGCCCTATCAGGTGAGGCCCTGCTCCCCTGAGCTCCACACTTGGACAGCAAGCCATTTCACCTGAGTTCCAGTTTCCTGATGACAGTGCCTAGCACATGGGACAGGTATGAAAACCAAACAGCCAATGTGTACAAAACATTCAGCCAGTTGCAATGCAGCTGTCATTGTGACATCAATGGAGTCCAGTGAAGCCCTTCCAGAAACTTCTGTGGATGCCCAGGGTGAGAAAGTGGCAGAAGCTGATCTGACCATGAATCCAAGTAACACAGAAAATTCCTTGTTCTCAGGTCCCTGCTCAGTGAAAAAGAAGACTTAGCTGGCAGAACACTATGACACCATAATTCTCAATGTAGATCCAGCTTTGAGAGCTGCTACTCCTGGGTTTGCTTTCTGGACAATTATTTTATTTAAGTAGTTTTTTTGTTCTTTGTTCATTTTAGAAATTCTCTGCCAGGTAGCAAACCACTTCAAATTTAGTGTGTAAAACAATGGCTACCCTCCAAGCTCACAGACTGTGGGTCATGAGCTCTGGAATGGCTCAGCCAGGCTGCCTGTCTCTACTCCACAGTGCCTAGGACACATCCAGATTAGATTTCCAACATCATGACAGTGGAAATCCAGGGTAGTCAGCTCCTAAAACCACATACATCCCTGTATGCTAAGCTGAATGGCTGGTACCCACCCGCAGTCCACAACTGACAACCACAAAATCCAAAGCCCTCTGGAAACCAAGTATGTTGTCATAATGCACTGGGCAGCAGATGTGCACCTGAACTGACAAGGTGACAGAGCCCACTCGGTGACTGAAGAAGTTACCAGTGCACCCCACTAAAGAGGGCAGCAAGCAAAGCTGAAAGACTATGCTATGTATGCCCCTTTCTAAAACCCCTAAATTCTGAATTAAAGCACACACCAGGAGCCAGATGCTGCTGGGGCACACCTGATATCCCAAGAGAAGTTCATGAGTTTGAGGTCAGCCTGTGCTGCATGGTGAGACCTTGTCTCAAAAAGCAAAGACAAAGAAGCAAACAACAAAGTAAAACAACAGCATTATGAATTTCAGAGAGGAATAGTGAACTCAGAACTGTACCACTTTGTAGTTAAAATATGGCATGTACAGTGCCTGGCACTACATGCAACTTTTTATTTCAATCCCCACAAACCTCAGCTGTGAACTGCTTTCTTTTTTTTTCTTTTCTTTTCTTTTTTTTTTTTTTTTGAGACAGTGTTGTACTATGTACCCTTGGCTGTCCTGGAACTCACCAGATAGGCCAGGCTGGCCTTGAACTCACAGAGATCCTCCTGCCTCTGCTTCACAAGTGCTGGGATTAAAGACAAACCTGGTTTGTTTAACACTGTTCTGAGGACTGTTGTTTCCATCCCATTTCCTTCAGAGTTTCGCATTCTCTGCATGTATAAACCATGGTGTTCCCCCCAGTGAATGTGGGGACCTATCTGCTTTCAGAATTCTTGTTAGATTCATCTTGAAGTTGGTGGTGGGGAATAGAAGACAAAAGAAAAAAGAAGGAGGGGGAGGAAAAAGAGAAGAAGCAAGAGCTTGTGTGTGTTACCTTTTTCCTCCCTGTTAGGAAACATCTGGCAGAAGCAACTTAAGTAGGAAGGGTTCACAGTTCCAGAGAGACATCTGTCTATCACAGGAGGATGGCATGATGGCAGGAGTGACTCAGTCAGTTCTGCAGGTGCCTATGGTGGTGGTGGCCTGTTCACATGGCTCAGGAAAGAAGCTAGACCAAAGCCAGGAATGAGTACAGCCTTCAGAGGCCCACCTCTAGTAACCTACTTCTCCCAGCAAGGTCCCACATCCTAAGGGCTCCAAGTCTTCAAGACAGTGCCACAGTATGGAGCGACAGAGTGTTCAAAACATGAACCAGGGGAGACATTTCAGATTCAAGACACAAGAGAGCCTGCTTATTCCTTTGGTTTGGGCCTGGAAACAGCCTTCCTTGGGGTGTTTTATTTTAACTAAAGTCTTCTTCTTGGACATCTCTCCAGATGGACTGAAACACAATCACTGAACCCTTCTATAGAAAAAGACTTGAGGACAAGCTATAAAGACCAGGGGAAGCCTAGTTCCCTTAATCTTCAGTATGTTTTTGTTTATGTGTCTATGTAAGGACATGCTGTATGTGCAGGTGCCATAGGGGCCAGAAGAAGGGTGTCCAATTTCCTGAAGCTGGAGTCACAGGCAGTTGTGAACAGCTTGACATGGGTGCTAGACCAAACTTGGGGCCTCTGGAAGAGCAGCTAGACTCATAACCATTGAGACATCTCCAGTCCCCAGCTCTCTTTATAAACTTCTTGGATTTCCAACATTGTTGCTCCGCTCCAGTCTTGTGGATCAAAATGTTGAACTTCACCAGAGCCCAGAGCTGGGTGTCTCATTCACTGGACCTGCCTCAGGGAAGCCCCACAGGGCATTTCTGTCGCTTTAGTCTCTTATCTAGCTTCTCCATGCAGGAGCCCTGTGGTACCTGGAGAGGTGGTGGCTGTGGACAGACATTACTTCCAAAACACTGGAGCTTATGATCCTCTCATGTCACTACAGGGTAGTGAAAATCTCGAGATGTCCTTCAAGGTAGGTCAACAGTGGACACGGGTGGCATCTCTGGAGTCATGTATGTAGTCCCCTCAAAGGCAGAGATTAGGAAAGGCAGTTATTTGGAATAAACTTGTGGGCAAATTATATAAAGTCATACAACCAGATATGTCAAACCTCCCATCTCCTCCCAGGCCATGTCTCTTGTGACCTACCTTGGCTTTCCTCTCAGCTTCCTCTGTGAACTTGACTTTGAAAATCCTCATCAGGAGAAGGTGGACTATCAGTAATTCACATCTCAGTGCAGAGAACCCAGAGCTTCTGGTACAGTCTCTGTTCCTGGTACCCTTAGCATTTAGGGGATCTTTTACAGCACCCACCAGCCAAATGTGAAACCACTCTTGGCACTGAGTAGTTCCATCCAAGCAATGGGTGTTCGCTTGATTTAGGACCTGCTGGGTATAGCTGGCTGGAAACTGTGGACAGCCACCTCCTGCACTTTCTGTTCCGCACTGGTTCTAGCTTTATACTTGCCTTTCAGTCACACCCATTGCTCCAAACCCAACCCTGAAAAGATGTCCATCATCTAACATGGGCAGACCAATCTAATGTAGATGTGTGAACTACACCAAGCTTGAGTTTTTGCATAATGTCCAAGTTTTCTATTTCTCTAAAAAATGAAAAATGCTTGCAGAGCTCTTTGAGTCCTCTGAGGTATTCAGGGACATGGGGTTCAAGAACCCCATGCCTAGTGTGTTTTTTTAATTCTTTTATTTTTATATATTTTAATAACTTATTTAGCTTTATTTTATGTGAATTGGTGTGAAGGTATTAGGTCCTCAGGAACTGGAGTTACAGACAGTTGTGAGCTGCCATGTGGGTGCTGAGAATTGAACATGAGTCCTCTGGAAGAACAACCAGTGCTTTTAACCACTGACCCATCTCTCCAACCTGCTTAGTATGTTTTTAGTCCCTGAACCATAGCCTGTCCAGAACTATCCAATTGTAATTTCTGTAACTAAGTATAGAATGATGGACTGCTCTTGTCCAATGAGCAGTGGGAGCTGGGAGAAGCTTCTGGAAGGGTGAAGAAGACTAAGGGAGGTGTGCTTTTGTCTTTGGTATTTCTGCATCAGGAGACATCACTAGCTTTTAGAAATTCCCTAGCCACTGTAGACATAGTTTCCCTGGGAAAGCATCCTCTGGTAGGAGGGGGTGCTGATCCTTCATTTGTGTACTGACTCTGCACATGTTTCCAGGTGGCATGCTCAGGCAGGTGCACGGCTGTCAGCCATCCCCCGTCAATTCCATCCTAGGACAAGTGTCCTCTATGCCTTGCCTATTGCTGCCCTGCTGAACACACTCTGGGATCAAGGAACTGCACTCTGAGGATCTGAACTGGTCATTTCGGTTATGACTTCCTGGTGTTCTACCAGCTGCTCACAGACAGGGATGTAGAAGGGACAGCCATCCACCTTCTTTTTCTGTGACAGGCCTGGCTTTGCGGTGGCTCCGTTGAAATCCTTCCCTGCTCTCGAGTGGGACACATTTACCAAAGCCAAGACAGCATCTCCAGGACTGACCCTGAGGTCATCTTGAGGAACAAGGTCCGCATTGCTGAGACTTGGCTGGGGTCCTTCAAAGAAACTTTCTACAGGCACATTCCAGAAGCCTTTGCCCTGAGCAAGGTAGGGAGGGGATCCTAGGTGTCTTTGTTAACATAAGATCACCAGCTTAAGGTCAGCCAAGAAGGACCCTGTCCCTTATTTCTGGCTTGAGCTTCTCAGAGTTGGCCCCCTACAGTGACCCTTCTACCTGGTGGGGCTGTCCTCTGTCCCATCACCTCCCTAGAGCATCACGGTTGACCTTGGCCTAGAATTCCAGACTGCTATAGGATGCTGTGAACTGGAAGCAACCTTTCACCACAGGGCAGATAAGGGATGAGTCATATCTCTGAGGGATCCTTTCATCCTGTGATGCTCAAGGGTTGAGGAATATCCAAGACAAAGACCAGATATGAGATACAAATAAATTTAAGGAATCCATAAAGCCACAGAAAAGTTGAAATTTTAAACATGTAATTAATTGTCCCTCAGTTCACTATTAATTCCTGTGGAATGACACACACATGATATCTACTGTGAGTCATGGTCTGTCATTACACTTACTGCACTGCAAGTAGGATCCCAAAGGAGCAGTATAGTCAGGAAACTGTTACCACACATCCCTCACCTGCCCACTGCTGGATAGCACAGATGAAGACAGGGTCCTCAGAGAGACACACCCGTGCCCACTGCATGCAGGGAAGTCAGACAAGGGGCGACCACTCAGGAGCCCCGGTACTCCCTTTTCTTGAAGTCGTCAGGATTTTGTTGTTCTTTAACCAGACCCACCCCTTTCCTACAACAGACAGACCTACAGACAATTCTTAGAACTCTATGATCATATCTCTGTTTGTCTCTTTAATGGGAGATGACACACAAAATTTCAGTTTAGTTCCAAGGTCTAGGTAGCAGAGTTCCCACTGGGTCACCATGAGTGACTCCAAGCATCACCCAAAGTATCATCAGTTCCTTTGCACACAAGAGGAATCCCACTGCTGTAGCTTCTGGCTGGGTGTGTAGAGCAATATTGGAGATGAAAGGGCAATTCTCACCAGGACTCCAGTACATCCTAAGTCTAGACATCCTGGAAGTAGTCCTTAGAAAAGGCAGAGCTTCAACTATGGCTGCATAGAATTACTCAAGCCCCAGAGAAGGGGTTGGGGTAGATCCTGAAGCCTCTGAGGGTTGAGCTAAAGGGTTTAGACTTTACCCAGTTAATAGTGGGGAGTAGGAACCCTCCTACAGAGGTCTATAGAGTACCACAGAGATGCTGGGCTTTTAATATCTGGCCTTTCTTTAGGCTGGAGCATCTTTGTTGTTTTTTTTTTCTCCCTCTCCTGTAAAGGGTGTCAATTTAGTATTTTCTATTTCCTTTCAGAGCAGACTTGTTTAATATCAATACAGATTTCATTTATAAAGAACCCTTAAAAATTAAGTATTTCCATACCTCTGATGTTTCCGGGCTACCTTCCGCTCGACAGGCTCATCAGAACACAGCATGTTGGATGAGGTTATCCCAATACAGCGTGTGAAGTATTTGCAGCCTGCCTGGCCCCTCTGTGTCTTACAAAAAAAACCCAGAGACCACCAAGTTGGAACACTGACATGGGCATCATCCCCTTTCTTTTTTATTTTGCCTTTCCCATTCCCTCTTTCCTCCTTTCCCACCCCCTATCTCCATGTTTGGTTATTCCAACCCTTCCTTATAGCCTCTCAACCTAAAATATTAAACTAGTGTTGAGGACTGGTGCCCATTCTCCTTCAGTTGTTCATAAAGGGAGGGGCCAATTTAGCCTAAATATATGGTTCAGTGGAGAAACCTGATATTTGGGGAAGAAGAAAAATCAACACCTTTCCTCGGCCCCCACCCTAGCAAGTTCCCAGCTGACTTTGTCTCCTCTACCTCTGGGCCAGCTCATGATACAACCCAGGTAGAGTCTATCATTTATTTAAGGCACAGACACCATAGTTTTTGTAGGCTGAGGGTTTGGAGGTGAGGGTATACTGCTTCCAACCTCACTGGTTGCATGCCTCTGTGTAAAGAAGTTACCAAATGTTGTGCCTTCTAAATCTCTCTTAACATGAGTCTTCCTCCTGTTTGCAATCCTGTCCAGATCCCTCTGCCTCTTCACATTTACCTCTATCCTTCCCCTACTGTGTGGGTTTGGAGAGGGAAACAAGCTTTCCTGGCCTTACTCCCCATATCCTTCTCCAACTACAGGTTGCAAAGCCGGACTGCATGGAGCGCCTGAAGCTGCAAAGGAGGCTGGGTTGTCGGACATTCCACTGGTTTCTGGCAAATGTCTACCCTGAGTTGTATCCATTTGAGCACAGACCCAGGTTCTCTGGAAAGGCAAGGCATATCCAGAGGAGGTGGGAAAGAAAGGAGAGAGAGGGTTGCTTGCTAACACAAGAATATTCATCCCTTACATTGGGCAACCAGTTACAGGCTCAGGAGACCTTCAGAGGCCTTTGGACTCCCCCTCCCCTCCTCCCTACCAGCCTGAAGAAAGTAACCATGTTCCCCTATAACCCATGCGAGATCCACTCACCAAAATGAATGTGGCCTGACTCCTTCTGGAGGCTTGTGTCTTAAGATGAGTGGCTGGGGAGTGGCCCAGCTAACTGTGACTGAACCACACACATTGGAGTAAGGTCTAAAGAGGAGAGAGGGTTAGAGTCAGCTTCAGGCATTTCACAGTGGAGGTCAGATTCACTCTTTGTGGATGTCCACTTTCAGCTCCACAACACTGGACTTGGCTTCTGTGCAGACTGCCAAGCACAAGAGGACATCCTGGGCTGCCCCATGACATTGGCCCCTTGCAGTAACAACCGACAGCAACAGGTAGGTAGGTGACAATGCTTCTTGAGATGGATTTCAGTCAAGAAAGACGTCTAAGTGGGTGCTGTTTCCTAGAGTGCCCTTCAATTCCCATCAAAGTAACTCCTTTCTGTGATCCCATGCCCCTTGACAGGCCACTGTGATGACTTGTCACGGGTCTGCCCACATCACCAGCATCAAAGGGTGGAGCATCTCAGAAGGAATGAAGAGGCTACTTAGCCAGTCCTTGAATCTGGCAGATGATGAGGAAACTGTCATAGAACCACCAGCCTAGGAATGTCCACCTCATATACTCCAGGCTTGAGGAAGGGTCCATGAGTCTGAGTAGAAAAGAAGAAATGAAGTCAGGGGAGGGATCTAGAGTCACACAGACCCTTTGGCTGTTAGGAAGGTCACTGTGATCCCTAGAATGTGTCTTATTTGCTTCAATTTTTCATCATAGGAAAAACTGACCAAGGTAACAGAAAGCTGACCATCCTGGCTGAGATGCCATAGGTCCACTTCTTTTCAAAACTTAAATAACTTAGTGTAGACTTTCCCCAGACCTGTTCAGACTATGATGGGGGGGGGGTCTTTTGAATTAAGCTGTCATACTTCAAAGTTACCTAATGAAAGCAAACAACAGTTAACTGATACCTGGAGAGCCTGGGGAGAAGGGGGAAACAACTCCATGAGAGTTTGGGGCCCAGCCTTGCAGTGGTGCCAGCCTAGAACATTTCTATGGTAGGCTGGTCCCAGCCTCGCAGTACAAGCCTAGAGTGCTGGGCACAGGCTCAGGGCCTGGAGCGTACACGAGGAAGGAGTTGGCTTAGGATTCACTTGGTCTCTTCTGTTTCTATACTTTACCATTCTTTTCTAAAATACCAGTGGGCATTCATAGAAGATATATTAGTGAACTTTTGCACCCCTGAAATCTAAATACCTGACAGGAAAAGTTTCTTTTTGTTGTTGTTGGTGGTGGTGGATTTTATAGTTCACAGTCTCAGGAGGGTTTCAGTTTACTATGGGAAGGGCATGGCAGTGGGAGTGGCTTGGTCTATGATGGCAGAAGTATGAGACATTTGGTAGCTCGCTCACGTGGTGCAGACTAAGGAGCAGAGAAAGCAAGCCAAGTACATATAACCCTGAGAGGTTCCTCCAGTCAGGCCCTACCTCCTAAGGCCTCACAGGCTTCAAAGAAGGGCCACCAGCTGGGGCATATGAAGCATGGGCCCATGGTAGGATTCGTCACATTTAAACCATAACACTAGACACAAGAGATGAGCACATAAAGAGCCAAGTAAAGAAGTCACTTGATAGGGTGACAACTGTCTAAGCTTTACTGCCATCTAGAGGCAAGTTTGAATCAAATTCCCACTGGCTAGGCGTGCATTCTTGTCAGGTTTTAGAATCATCTTAGCCACAGTTTCTTCACATGCTATAGGCTCCCTTTAAACAAAGAGAGCATTTGTTCTGTGTATATATTTTTTATAAGTGAGGTCTTCTGGAGCCTAAAATATTGGATAGTCAGTAAGCTGACCCCCAGGGGAAAAATTAGATATGTACCTAATTAAAATAATATGAAATGCCTCTTTCCATGTGTAAATCGTTGAGTTTACAAGAAATAAAGAAAGATAAATATCCAAGAACTAAAACTCAAATGGCAACTGAAAATAGAACCATTTGTGTGAGCTGGGCTTCCTTGAGAGGTGACAGAGATTGGTGGCCACCAACCTCGGGAACTCAAGAGTGTGGCTGAAGGCAGGGAGAAGCAACGAGGGCCCAGCTTCAGCTTGTGAGAGGTAAGGTTGGGAATGAGACTTCATATTATCCAGCTTTGACTGTCACAGGGTAGCCCACTCTTGCACAACTGCACTGAAAATGTCTCCCCCATCTGCCACTACAGGTGGGATTTTGAGTAAGAAAGAAATTACTGTCTCTTGAGAATTGCTCATAAGTTTCTGAGATGTGTTTAGGGTTCAGATGTATGCTGTGCAGTTTGGGAATTTTCAAGCAGGGCAGACCACTATATTTAATTTGCAAACTGGCAGGGCCTAGTGCAAATGGAAGATGTTGTGTCTCTAATTCGACAGTTATTAAGAATTTCAAGGCAGTGGTGGCAATGCATAAAGTGAAGAGATAGAACCAAGAGCATGAAGACTTTCTGAGCACAGGGCTCATGAGATTGCACAGGCTGCACACCCATGATGCCAGTCCTGTCTCAGAATCATACAGTTAACATAAAATCAGTTTGGACTGCATCTGCCAGGAACAAACAGAAGACTGTTTTGCCAAAATATGCTGTCCAATTGGTAAACACAAGTGCTTCACAGTTAAAACCCCTCTGCAAATGACCACACAGTCCAGCTCTAAAACCCTGGGGGCAATGGGAACCACAATGGAGATAATGGGAACCATGATGGAGGCAATGGGAACCAAGAAGCAGACAATGGTCTACAGCCACCACAAACAGCAGGGAAATTAGTCAGGGTCAGGGAAGATGTCTCTAGAAGGAAATCAGCCTGAGCCTCAGAGAGATCCCTCGCCAGCCCTTCCAGCAGTGCTCACCCAGCACTTGCAGCCTTTTAAAACAGTCTTATCTGCATACAGGAAACAGAATGAATGCCACAGAAACAGGCCAGGTTGCCGAAATAGGAGCATGAGAAAGGCCAAGGTGCTGGGACATCAGAATCCAGGAAGAGCCTTGTTGGCTGCCCCTGTAGAATCTGAAGAACACAGCTCTGCTGTGTGTTCCTCTGTCTCCTCAAGGCTTTGGAGAGGGTGTCTTTCGGGCTATACTAACTGCCATCTCCTTTGCCCCAGAACCTGAAGCACACCAGTAGGAAGGAGATTCTCTTTGGCAGCCAACAGCAGCTGTGCTTTGATGTCAGAGGAGAACAGGTGGTCCTGCAGAACTGCAGGGAGGAAGGTCCTGCTGTCCATCAACAGCACTGGGACTTCCAGGAGGTAATTAATCCATTCTGGAAATACCAACTGATCACAAGGACCTCCAGGCAGCTGACCTTAGCATGGCAGCCTGGGCTCTTCCAGGACACCAGGTACTCTCCATGACAATGCCTCTGCTGTTGAGCTTAATGGCTTGACGCTGGGGTTTCTGGTGAAAGTAAAATCAACCCAGCTACATAATTTGTCATAATTTGTCCCCACTCCATTAGAGGTCATTAGCTTGGATGACAGGTAGGATGGTGGAGCATGTTACTCAAACAACCACTCAGTGGTTTGGACTGAGGAGTGATGCAAAACACAATTTAAAAGAAGTAGATACTGATATCTAAATATGTAGCAATTGGGGCTGGAGAGATAGCTTGGTGCTTAAGAGCACTGGATGCTCTTCCAGAGAACTTAGGTTTGATTCCTAGCACCCACTTGAAGGAAGCAACCATGTGTAACTCCGTCTCAAGAGCATCTGATGTCCTCTTCTGGCCTCTGCTGGCACTGCAGAGGCACTGCAGTGGTACTCAGGCTAATATTCAGATACAATTCTATTTCTATGAAATGTTTAGGAAGGAGACTAGTGACTCTCAGTGGCTGGAAGGAAGGAGGAAGGACAAATGACTGCTAATGTGTAGCAGTGTCTTTTAGCAGTGATGGAAATATTCTGCAATTACTAAAGACAACTAGTTTATTTAAAACAGCCTGCAATTTGGAATATCTCAACAATGACCAGTAGTTTATAACCTTATGGCTAAAACTATTTAATTTTGTAAAGAAATCAGATTTTTCCTGAAAGGGGGATGCTACAGTCAGTATTGAATCCAGTGGAGTCCAGTTAATACCTTTCATATGGCTGGTCTAATTAGACCTTCAGGATAGCCTCAGTCTTGCTCTCGACTGCAACCTAATGGCCACAATTTCAAATTGCAGGATTAGCCCAGGGTAGCACTAATGAAACCCTTTTGAAAGTAGAAATTCATGAATGCAGTGATAACATTGATTCTGACAACACAGCATGAAAATTGAATACACCATAACCAGTTACCCTGCCCAAAACTTTCTAAGAAATGACACAAGCATATAAAAGCAATACAAATAATCAGGTTCATGATCCACTAGGCTTGAATGACATCTAAATTTTAGGGTTATTGGAATTATATTTTCTATTAACTAAAAGTTCTACAATTCCTTCCAGGCAAGGTCATCTCACCCCTGTTAGTCTTCCAGTCAGTGCTCAGCACAAATCTTAAAATCTTAAACATGTCCTCCTTTGCTGACTTTGTCAGAAACTGGCCCCTTCCTTCTCGTTTCAGGATGGAATGATCACCCACATTGTTTCTGGGAAATGCATGGAAGCTGGGGTCCATCCAGACAATATGGATCTGCACTTGAGTCAATGTGATGGGAAGACCAGGCAGCTGTGGCGATTCGACCAGGTCCACCCTGTGGATGAACGCTGAGTAACAGTGGCAGAGAGCAAGGCAAACAATGAGCATCACATTACTGCCCCTATGTGCCCTGGGCCAGTCCCCTGCACCCAGGCTTCTGGTGTAGGACAGAAGAAACTTCCATTAAAAAAAAAAAAACAAAAAACACAGGAAATCTCTCCATGTTCCTTATGTTATTGACTGCTGGCTGTTATTTGGAAAGAAGCAATGGAGTTGTCTTCATCTCCAGAAATGATCATCACGAAGCAGAGAAGTATCTTTTCTTTTCCCACCAAGCACTTAACATTTGCTTTATCCCTGATAGTGGAAAAAAGCACAGGCATTGCCTGACAGTAACTCCAGGAGACATCAAATGCGGTAGATAAATTTTTTGTCCTCACATAGCCCTTGCTCCAATGGTGTAGTGTAATGGCCAGTTGTGAAAGTTGGAGTACAGGGCTTCCCAACCTTTGATTAGGTTTACTAACATATATTTTGTGTCCATTCAATGCTCAACAGGAAGCAGAAGGGAATGGAGAGGAATTGGGTGGGGCTGGGAAGAAGACTGGAGAGAGATTTGTCCAAACTCTGCAGCTCAGCTTGGCCCCGGGAAGAGTCAACACACCTGGGTAAGATGTCTTCATCTTCAGGACAGCTCCCTTGAAACTCTACCTTCATTCACCTGCTCTAGCCTTCTCTCGCTCAGCTGCCTACAACCAGATTTCTTTGCAATGTAGTCCTTCTTTACCCACCAGCACTGGAAGGATAAACACATCTGAGCATGCTCATGAACAAAGGTGTCACAGTAGAGAAACTATCTTAATGACCTAGAAGGGAGTTGTGCTGGCTTTGATGAGACACAGCCACCTTTGGATGGTGATGGCTGAAGAGCAAGGATGCCAACATCAGAGCCAAAATCTTTACAAGACAACATGGATCTGGCCATTGAATGTTTCTGAGGCTTTCAAGGGCCATCTAGGAACCCTTAATGATTGTCAGTGACACCTAAATGTGGCTTCCAGTTAAATGCTCATGGTTGAGGGAAATCCACCTCAACAAGAGCAGCTACAAGGTTTGCTCAGGGAGTTAGGATGCTGTTGAGGAAAATACAAAAAATATTCTTGCCCATTTCTCTCTGGATGGAATTAGTTCTGTATGTGGTAGACTTAGAAACTTTGCATTAAAGCTGACTTTGGCCTTGAGCTGTCTCAGAGCATAGTTGTTTTAAGTAAGAACTGGAAAGAAATTTGCGTTCCTAAAATATCCAAAATAATATGTATTCCTTCTCCAGCTTTCAAGTCAATACCTACTGTGTTTCTTTAGTCTTAGAATCACTATAGACTAGCATTACCCAATATGATGGCCACAAACCCCATGTGGCCATTTTGGTGGAATTTCACTGCAATTCAGGAAATTTTCAAACTGTCCCTTGTGTGTACTAGCTACATTTCAAGAGTTCAATAGCCACCTGTGGCTAATGGACACGGAACCTGAGAACACAGTAATAAAGTAATAAACACTGTCACCAAACAGTATTATTGAATAGTGCTGGCTAGACCCGTCTCCTGTGGAAGGAAGAGATTTTAGTCACCATCTTCTTACTCCAGACCTGTCTATATTTAAAGCAAGCATGTTGAGACAGGGGTGGAGCTTACAATTTCCAAACGACATCCTTGTAAAGGGCAGTAATTACTGAAGAGCAAACATTTCTAAAGATCTCTATTCTGAAATGAACTCTGTTATTATCATTGTGATTAGCTGAAGTTGTTGGAATAAATTAATGTAATTAAATAAAAGACTAAATTCTATTGTGTGAGTTGTACTTGGTGGTTATTAACAAAAGGGCCCAGATGGCTTGTTGCTTAATTGTTCTAACAAAGCAAGAATATGACATCTCTTGATTCCTTAGCTATCCCCATGATTCATCATTTTATTACAGGGATGGCTGGCAACTCAGTCCCTGGCTGGTCCTTTCAGACCCTTAATTTAAACAGAACAAACACTTCTGGGACCTTCTGAAGAACAACCTCCTTACATTGTAACAAGTGTTTGAATTCTTATCAATGGTCCAGTTAGAAGGAGAAACCTGGCAGTTGAACAATCCGATTCCTGAGTTTGATTTTGCTTATCTGTCTGAATTTTATGACTTTTTAATAAAGGAAGTGTTTTGTGATTTGTCTCCCAAAGCCACCACCCTTCTGAAGGGTCCTACTGGAGTGGATGGAGAGACATGCACTCAGCTGACTGCAGTCTCTACTCTTTTATGCCATGACACAACAGTGAAAACAGATGGGGGGCCTGATGTGTTTCCCCTTTTGCCTCAATGTTATCAATCCCACATAATGACATAATGACAAAGCCAGAGTGACAGAGGGACAGGAGAGAAGTAATACAGGTTTCTTCCACACACCACCAAATGCTGCCAACTGGGATAAAACACTTCAGGAAATCAATACTGTAACGTTAGACTGTGGACAAGGGTGGAGCTGGAAACTTTTCTGTACCAGGCCAGATAGCAGGAGCTTGTCTTGTGGGACAGTGGTCTCTCACAAAACTCAGCTGTGGGTATTTAACCCAGATGTAAAAGAAGATGGATTATATCTATTAAAAAATGAAACCAAGAAATGTTACCAAAGAAACCATGAATGGAGCCGGGTGATTATAGTTCAGTGTTTGAGAGGCCAAGCCAGCTTGAACTATGACGTGAAACCCTGTCTCAAAAACACTGGGAGGAGGAAGGAAGGAAGGAGGGAGGGAGGGATGGTGGGAGGAGGGAGGGAGGAAGGGAGGGAAGAACAGAAGGAAAGGAGGAAGGAAGAAGGAAGGGAGGGAGGGAAGGAAGGAAGGAGAAAAATGGTATAAATAAAATACCACTGGTTTACATACTTTAAACTTACAAATGCTGTGGTATACTTTAATAAAATTACTAGAAAAAAAACCTTTGGAGAAAGAAAAACAAAAAACACTAAAATGGGTCTTATAAACAATAAAAAAAGCAAAACCAGCTGTACAAATAGCAACAAAATAATGAGAGGAACAGTGTTCTTGTTATAAAGAGACTCATTAATTTTAGATGTAGAAGTAACACTTGGAAGATAGAAGCAGGATGATCAGAAGTTCTAGGTCATCCTAGGTTCATGAGATTGAAACCTTCCTTGAATAAATAATACCCCCTCACAGGAACAAGCAGATAAAACTTTCTTTTTGGTTTTTCGAAACGGGGTTTCTCTTTGTAGCTTTGGAGCCTATCCTGACACTCGCTCTGTAGACCAGGCTGGCCTCGAACTCACAGAGATCCACCTGCCTCTGCCTCCCAAGTGCTGGGATTAAAGGTGAGCACCACCAATGTCCGGCTGCAGATAAATCTTTTTTAAAAATCCAAACAATGAAGCCTTGATGTCTGTCCTTTTTTTTTTTTTTTTAGAAGACTTGCATGGGTTTTGTTTAGATAGGTTAAGGAACATAGGCTTTTCTAACAAGAGGAGAGACATTTCCTTGATTGGTGATTGATGTGAAAGGGCCCAGCCAACTGTGGGTGGTGCCATCCCTGGGCAGGTGGTCTTGGGAAGCATAAGAAAGCAAACTGAGCAAGCCAATAAAGAGAGCTCTTCTATAGTCTCTGCTTCAGTTCCTGCCCTGGCTTTTCTACATGATGGACTATCCTCCCAAGTTGTTTTTGGTCATAGTGTGTATTACAGCATAGAAATCTAACTAGGGCAGTGAGTGGTCCATGCCTATGACCTCAACACTCTGGAGGCTGATGTAGGGAGGATTGGAGACTGAGTCAAGCCTGAGGTACATAGCAGAACCTTATTATGATAGCTAACCTTTTAAAAAATTATTAGTTTATTGTGTGTGTGTGTGTGTGTGTGTGTGTGTGTGTTTTCAAGTTCCAAGTGAGCCATGGAACAAGTGTGGAAGTCAGAGAATAACTTGTGAGAGCAAATTATCTTCTACCATGTAGGTCCCAGGGATCAAATGAAGATCCTCAGGCTTGCTGGCAAAGAGTATCAGCTGGAGCATCTTGCTGGGCTTATCTTGATTTTCAACTTGCTTGGATCTAGAATTAACTATGAGATATGGGTTCTGGAAAAAGCTTTGAGGGATTAATTGAGTAGGGAGTAGAGAGTAGGGAGGAATCTCCTCCAGAGTGGCTAGCATCTCTGTCACAGCCCAGATTTTCTGTCAAGACTTGTAAATGTTCACAGAAAAAGCAGAGCTGCTTGCTTGCTTTCACTTCTTGCTGGTAATTACATTGCTCCTGCTGCTGCCACCGCTGCCGCCGCCGCTGCTGTGTCCATCAAAACAGAACTTCTCTAGTAGATTTTCACCATGAGTGGAAGACCAGTGGCTCTCCAGGCTTTTGCTGCTGGACTAGGACTGCTGAAGCATGCAGCACCATGGGTGAGCAGACGGTCCCTGCTGTATTGCACAGCCCACACCTGGTGAGCCATTCTAATAAATTCCTTTTGTAAAATATGTTCATTCTACCAGTGCTATTCCTCTAGAGAACCCTGGTAACATTTCTATCTAATAAACAAAAACCACACATCAAGGAACAACATTAGCAAGGAAGTGTTTTTAAGAAGCAAAGAGTAACTGTCAGCGTTTAGCCAAGCCAAATGGATTGAATTGCACTAACAGATCAACGTTGACACTTTGGTTCCTGCTGTGGCGAGGACAACCATAGAGGACACTATGCACACCCTGCACACTCAAATGATTCCTCTGCATGCAGATTAAGGGAATCTGAAAATAAGCAGAACAGTGACCATCCAAGCAGAAATGGGTATAAATAGGGCCCATGTTGTTTTAGGGTCTTCATTGGAATGAGTTTGGATACAAGTGACAAAATGGCCAGCTGGGGCTTCAGAAATACCAGTGCCTAGCCATGCTCGATCTAAAGATAAGTATATACCTGGTGCAATGGTTCACAGACACCTGTGATTTAGTTTTTTTTTTTTTTTTTTTTTTTTTTTTTTTTTTGTCTCCCTTTGTAGCTCCAGTTAGCCTGAAATTCAGTGTGTAGTTTA